CGTGTGTGTATATTAAAGGAGGAGTTCTTGGCTTAACTTTCAGAACCTGAAGCAATGTCTTACCTAAGCAACAGTTCAGTGCATGACTCTTTTTCTCACTGATTTAGGCCATACACAATGTAAAGGAATAAGGAAATAGTTGCATTCTGAGGCCAGGGGCCAGATCTTCAACTCTGGTTAAGTCACTTTTGTGCCCCTCCATCAGCACAGAGGGTCCTGAAAGCTGTCTCAGCCAAGCAACTGAGAAGTCTTGAATTCTCAAATGGGGCAAAGCCATGTAGCTGGCCTTATCCACCCACCTCCCCTTTGGCACGGGGTTTTATATGGCAGAGCTGAAATGTAGCATGCTCTGGTGATCCTGGGCTGGTAGAACATTCCCTAGGGGACAGTTCCAGTTGGTATTAAATATTGATAGTTTTGTGGCTCCTTTAACTTCTGCTGGAGACCAGTGCAGTCCCTGTCTATCCTCGGGATCAGGAGAGCTTAGAGGGTCTAGTTTTATCTCTTTGAGCTTCAAAGAAAAAAAATGAGTTTCAAACTGGTGGGGCTAATTCTTACACCTGTTAATGCCCTCCTATTGGTTGATCTTCCTGCTACTGCCCCACCCTTCCACTTGCAATTTCCAGCAACTTGCACAAGCTCATAACTTCTGGAGCTTGATTATTCATTTCCTTGCACCTTGTGCCATCACTGACACTCAAAATTGTAACATTTCTCACCCACTTTGCACAGGTGTAAGGCCCCAGTCCTGCACCTGGCTGTGCATTAACCCAGGTTAAACACAGCATAGTGAATTGCAAAGATCAAGGCCTAAATGACAACACAAGATGCAAGCTACACCACTACTGATTTTCTCCCAGCAGGAGATAAGAAATAGCTGTGATGATTTTATTAAAATCTGCCTTCCCTTACCGAGCTTCAGCTCGAATCTGCTCATTCCTACATCAATCTTTTTAAAGCACCATTTTTTTAAATTTAAAACCACAAGTGAAAGGTCATTGGGACTAAACAATTCACCCATAAAGTTAAAATGACTCCAAGGCGGGAAGCCCTTAACTTCAACAAAGCCAAGTGCTTTTCAGTGAATATACAGAATTCAGCAAGGATTAAGCAGAGGGAGCTTGCAGATTTCACTCTGAGAATATTCCAAGAGCTGCTGCTGCTGCTTGCAGAAATCTGGGCTGGAAATCTGTGGGCCAGAAAAAAGTTCCTGCATTCTATTAAACCTGTAGATTTAAGGCTAGGTAACCCATTCCAGTGCTTCACCACCCTCCTAGCATTGCTGAGATTAAAGGAGAGTGTCTCCTCTGTAGAGGCCAGCACAGGATTTCAAGCAATTCAGAAACGATTACAGTATTTTTGATCATAGAATTGAAGACCTGGAAAACAGATCATGACACTCAAACCACAGGATAACAAGCACCATAGCAGAGGCTGAAGACAAAAACATGATTAGATTTGTAACCAATGTGATTCTAAAGCAATGGAAGGAAAATGCCTTCAGATGCACATAGGAAGTAGTTAGAGCAGAGATCCATTCTTCAGCCAAAACCCAAACAAGAGGCAGCCTGTGTGCCATGATAATAGACATTCTGGGATTTTAGGACAAGGGGAAAGTTTGAGAATGTGCTGGGAAGCCTGGAAAATTCACCCGGGAGCAGTATTTCTTTTGCATCTTCCCCTGACTCAGATTTGGGAACAATAAGAGAAGGGAATATAGAACCTGTTCCAAAGCCTTTTGGAGCCAATGGGATTCCTTCAGTTGACTTCTGAGGGCTTTGGATGAGGCTTTTAGAGAGTGAATAAATATCCTGGAAAGGAAAGGGGCACAAACTGCTTTCTGATTTCTAAGAATTCACCAGGACTCCAATGTAATGTCCTGCAAGAGACTGAATTCCACTTTCTTCACTGTCTTTTTGTTAGCTTGAAAACAACAGGAAGAAGATTTATAGAACAAATCTGAGCTGTTGTGATGGTGGTGCTTGTTAAAATTCTTCCTCAGGGTTACCTACTACTCTCTCAGTCCCCACTCAGTCTCAGGGTAGGGGGGTGGGAAGAGTGCTTTGGGTTAGACTTCTTTATTCTTCTGGGACTATATCTTCTATATCAGTAATTTATTTGAGGAAAGACATTTGACAAAGGGGCCACAAGGCTTGCAGTTCTGACCAGCTGAGTATTTCTGTGATATGGGAGGAATCCCCAGATGACAAAAAGCCAGCATAGGCAGGTCTGTACCATTGCCCCTTCTTGCCTGGGGCATAGCGGCCATAACTACAGGAAAGTAGATTACTCCTGGGGGAATTCTGCACCATTGTGCAATGCAGAATTTTGCAGAAATTAATGTGCATGCAGAATTTCCTTTTCCCCCCACAGAAATGGGTTGCAGAGATGTTGTCCGCCACTATGGGCCACTGGCCCCAGCAGAGCCCAGCTCACACATAGAAGACAAGGCCGGGGGGAGCAGAATACGGAGGGAACTGGAGAGTTCCCAGCAGCTGCAGTTACCCGCACACCCTGGAGTAAGGAGATGGTGGTATGCAGGAAACTCTGTGCAAGCCCGGGACCCGGCATCAGGCTGTTCCTCCCTCTGGATCCCTGGGCTCTAGGAGGGTAGGGTCTGTGAGTGTCTGGGCTGGGGGGGGCCACAGTTGGGCTCTGTGGAGTAGGGATAGGGGGTGTAAGTGTCTGGGTTGAGGGGGGCCATGGCTAGGCTCTGTGGGGAAGCAGGTGTGAGTGTCTGGCCCCTTCGCTGGGCTTTGAGGGCGAAGGGACAGAAAAGCAGGAACTGGGTTGTCATAGCGGTTTCTTTAACTCTAATCCTGGGGGGATTTTTGTGTGTGTCTGTATTGTTACAGACATATTTGCTGACAAGAATTTTGAAATAAATTATCAAAATAATTGAAACTGGCATGATTATTTAGTGTTATTTTGACAAAATTCGCAGAATTTTAAAAAAAGTGTGCAGAATTTTAATTTTTTTTGTGCAGAATACCCCCAGGAGTAAGTAGATGTGACTGGGTCATTGCTGTGTGCCCATGCTGGCATAATGTCTCTATGTGACTATAGCCAGTTGGCATAGATTATACTTGTAAGGCTCCTCTCAACTATGCTGGATGGTTTTAATGGGATAATACCAGATTTTGATACTCTTCAGTACAAGTAAGGGTATCTTGCTTTGTGAGGGGTCTCGATGAAATCATCGGAGCCACTTGTGAAAGATAACATAGTCTGGCTTGCAAAGTTTGCCTATGAGCGAAGCAAAGGACTAGCTACCTTGATAGCACTTCTGATTCCAGTACATTCCAAATTTCACCCAGAATTTCTGGATAGCAGGACAGTGCCTCTGTGCAATCTGTAGTGGGCATTTCTGCCAAACTGAACTTGCTTCGTATTAAAGCTAGTCAAGCTACGCACTATAGGTAATATTAATTATGAATCTAGCCTTCCTTTTGAGTACAGTATCCACCAGTAGTGATTTTATTAGAGTGCATGTGTTGGCCATATCCATAGCTGGTGTAAATCAGTCTAGCTCCTTTGAAGCCAATGGTGCTATGTTCATTTACATCAGTTGGGGAAAGGGGAGACAAGGGTCATTTTAAATTGTTTGACACCAAGCAATTTGATTTTTAAAAATATTAAAAGTCTTTAGTTTAGAGAAACAAGAAATGATAGGCCAGCTCTTCTTTTATTGCCAGCTCAATGGTGTGACTTCCACTATTGTAGTCACAGGCTTACTTTTACATACCTTAGCAGACCCTATGATTGAGACCTAGCAAAATAAGCACAATTATTTACCATGACTATTTTATTATTAAAGAAAGGGAAGAAAAATTAAAGAAAACAACACAAATGATAAACTTGTTACTTCTGTTACAATCTCCTCTGTATGCCTCTCTGGGGAGTGCTTTTAGCAGAGATTACACCTTTAAGAATGGACCAGCCTTTCATGGGGCACTTTTCTCTTGGTAAATTGAGACCAAGATCTGATTCCCACAAATTATTTTGTAGCCAATCTTAGATATAGATGGGCAAAATAGTTTCATTTGGAAAAGGTGGACCCTGTTGGTTTATAGATGGGCAAAGTAAGCACTAATCCAAGTTGAAGTTTTGGGGAGCTTTTCCTTGGTTGGTTTCTTCTTGAGTCTTCTCTGTTCTTGTTGTCTGTGTAGTAGCTTTCTTGTAGAAATATGATGAGTTGTGAAGTGCTTGCTGTTTAAACAGGGTAGCAGAGGAGTGTGAGGAGTATCTGTGTGAGGAGTGGTCACGGCACTCTTTTTTCCTTTTTCTTTCCATGAAATTATGCGAAAACTGAACTCTTTTGGCTTTGTTTAGATTCAAAGTTGGTTGTTGTCACTCTTTCATTGGCTTCATGCCTTTTAGGGTTAGCTTAGCTGGCACCTTCAGCTCCTGACTATGTCATCTGTTTAAAGAATATGCAACATTTCTAATTGCCTGTTATTCTTATGGCAGGAACATTCCAGATAACCTTTTAAAGTTAAGAGTTTCTCTTTACTCAGTCCATTTTCTGAGCTATTCCTTCAATTTTGTTAGAGTTCAACAGGAAATTAAATTCTGTTTTCGAAAAGTCCAAACATTCCTATTATTTATAGAAATGTTTTTAGTTCTCAAAACAATCCTTTAAAATTAAATAATTCTTAAAGTCTTTAACTTAATAATTGTTAAAGAAGTTGCTGATTCTTTATAACAGTTTTGGAGAGATGATTCTTTGTCTTCCTAAGTTGGGTGAGGGAGTTGCTTGAGCATTACCAGTAATTGCTAATTTCCCATTAATATAAGTATTCTGTACGTAAATGGCTTATTACATTAGTAATTAGTTTAGGTTATTAGAATCCTTGTTGGTACCAAAAGCTTTTTACCATTTACCTAAAAATGACATTAGGAAATTATATTAAGAGTTTTGCATTTAGCTAACATATTTGCAAATATGCATTTCACCAAAGGCCAGAACATTTTCGATTGGCTCTTTGTTTTTTCCCTAGGCTTTTGAAAAAGGAAGAAAACTTTACTTTTATCCCTCGGTCCCGTGAAGAGCTTCCAGACAACTTTCCAAAGGAAATCCCTGGGATCTGTTACTTCCTGGAGGTCACAAGTGGTCAGAAGCAGCCAAAGCCCTCCATTACGTCTGCCAGAGTGAGAAAGGTTTCCTACAACATTGGCACTATGTTCCTTCGGGAGACAAGCCTATGAGGCCTGCTGCAGATCAAAGACTAGTCCAAAAAGCACAAGCCCAGAACTGGGTCATGAGAGGAAAGTTGGATATTCTTTTTATTTCACTGCCTTGTCGTGGACAAGCAGTAAAAGCTCTATCTGATGTCAGGCAATAATTATTTTAAAAGGTGGGTGACTGCTGTCAGTAAACAAACTGGAAAATGAAACAAAATACTTGTATTTCCAGAGGAATTATTGGTTGTAAATTTCAATTTGGCCCCTTTAAAAAACAAACAAACAAACAAATCTTTGGGGTTGATTTTTGTTTGAACAAAAGTGGGTGATGGTTGTCTGTAGATTTGCACCAGCTAAGCAGAATTGAGCATCAGTTCTGATTATGCATTCCTACATTAATGTGTCATTCACCAAGGTAACAATGTTTTTTAACTTTCTGAACAAACATTTCATACATATACTGTAGAGTGCTGTAACCTTCCTGGCAGGAGGAATATATAATTCAGTACAATATTGTGGGGATTTTACCTATTTTTATACATATTTCACTTTCTGGACAATTACATTCCATATACTGTAAAATGAGTGAGCTTTTCAGAATAAGCTGCTGTATATTTCAGATATTCTCTCTATCTATCAAAGCTTATTATTATACAAGTGGCAAGACTTTTGACTTAGGCAACAAAAACATTAATATTTTGCAAAAGAAAAATACATTGATAAGTCTTCTTACATGGCTTTTATGGTTTAGATGAACATTGTCTCGCATATATAATATATAATGATGTTCAGATGTTCAGTATTTGTCCTACTAGTAACATGTGTCCAGTCTCTCCAGAACAATGCAAACAAAGGCTTGAAGATCAATGTCTTGATGGGTTAAAAAAAAGTTCGGTTGCACACCCTGGGCCATATCTCATACCATCGATTTTATGTAGACGTCCTTACGATGGATGATATAGCCTATTGAAAGCAGCCTCCAGCAGATATGGGAAGCACTTTGGGAGGGATTTTCAAAGCAGCTCAATCACAGGAATTCAGGTTCCATTGACTTTTCATGGGACTTGTGCTCTTAAATCGCTTGGGAGTTTTTGAAAATCACATCCATTATTAGCAATGTTACGCTGGAAGTTTCATCTGCTGCTGGCTTGGCTGAAATGTTGCTGCTTTTTCTAGTGCAGAATAGACTAAAAGACAGGCACACATTTCAAAAAGGAAAATGCTTACCTGTAGCATAATGCAAGTGACTGTTCAAAATTTAGATTAATCAAGGTCAGTGAAAATAAAGGGCCAGATTCTCATCTATTGAAAATTTTATGCAACTCTGGAGCTATGCTCATTTACACCAGGGGAGGATCTGGCCCCAAATGGTCACGTCTTCAGACAGACTTTATTTTTTCTGATTTCACCCTTTCCCTTGGGTTTCCTTTTCAGTTAGCACTTGCTGTAGAACTGCCTGTGCAAGCCTACCCACAGTAGGGTCCTGTTCTTACAGACCAACGCTGTTCTATTCCTAGAGAAAACGGTTCATTAGCTAATATTTGTACAGGGCTTTTGAAGAGGTATAGCTCTATATGGGCCTGATCCAAAGCCCACTGAAGTAAAAAAAAAGAATCTCAAATTCACCAGCAGCTGCTGGGTGCTGAGCAATTTTCAAAATCAGACCACTTATTTTGCCTAAGTATTGGTGTAAGGTTCTAATTTGAGAACTTTTAAAAAAAACTTGGCCCTTGGGTGAAATTATCCCTGCACGTTGTGCTATGGAGAGGATAAAAGGAGTCGGAAACTTGCTCCTTTGACCGACACTTTGTGGCAAGGGTGGGGGATCAGTCAGCACAGCCTCACCTCCAATCCTAGAATCTGTTTCATGACCACTCTGCATGTTTGGGGATACTTAGTTTCTGGGAAACATGGCGGGGTGTGGAAGGGCCAATTCCAACCCAAAGGGATTGCTTCATGTAAGAGAAATCTGATCCTGTCACCAGGGTGTCTTGCTACCATGAGAGAGAGAGAGGGGACCTGAGGATTAGCACTGAGAATAGCTTTAATGCGAATGCCCCAACCATCCATGAATACACTCATCTGCTAGTTTCTCCCATGGATCTCAGAGCATCCCTTGGGCTAGAGGTTTCTATCTCCTGTCTGCTATGCAGCAGAACAAATGCAGCTCCTCCTCCACCATCCGCTGTCCAAAGGCTGACCTGATGAAAACTCTGGACTTGAGATTGCAGAGTTTCCAGCCTCACTGCAGACCTCTCCTGGCTTTCTGCAAAAGAGGACATGTGTTAGCCTTAACCATTAGTTTACACATGTACAGTATGTAAAGTGCATTTATCATGCAGTGAAAACAAGTGGTGTGGGCTAAAATCACAGATGGTGAAATGGTCCAATTTATCTACCCCACCTCCACCCCAGCACAGCTGTGGTGTTGCTGCCTAATTTATCAGTGTGCAAACTATTAGAACAGACAGTAATGTACATATATTGCACATCTATATTTCTAACCTGTGAAATTTGAGACTTTGCTGACACATCTTCACTGTGCAATAGTTTGATCTGAAGATAACAACCTCTCCTGTCCCTACTGTTTCCTCTCATCACCCACCCACCCCTGTCAATAGCTCATTTCATCATGGTAATTCTATGGAAAAGCACTATGGGTAGGTAGATGTGATAGGCATTCTAATTCCTTTGGAAAATGGCATGCAGAAGGTAGGAACGATACCCTGAAGAAACCTGTTGCATGGTGTCCTTCCAAGCAGCTAATTTATAGTAGAAGTGAATTTCTAATCATAGAGATCAGTGCAAAAACTAAAAATTGTTGTCAGCATCACCATGGAGATAATGGCAGTGTTTGCAAATAAATCTGCTGCTCCCAAAATCCGAATAGATTCACACTAAGAATATACAATCTCTGCATGTATAAAGGTGACACATCCAAAGCATCAGCAATGATGCAAAGTACTGTGTTATTTGCTTCTGTGTTATGACAAGTAAAGTTGATCAAAAACTGCCTTCCCTAGAGAATAATTTCCCTACCGCAGAGTGAAAGAAAAGTGTGGAAAATTTCTCTGTGGTGTTCAATTTATGATTTGTTCCTGCCGTAATACTGCTAGCTAGTTTTTAATTCATTTTTGTGGATGGCTCTGTAAAGTGTTAGCCAGGAACTCAGCAGGATGTTGGTAAGACACTAGACTCTATCAGTGAAGGTCACTTTTGGTGGAAGAGAAACCTTTCTGTGCGTAGCTTTCATCTGTCTGTGGATGTTTTTGCCTATGGGAGTGGGTCTTTGGGTTCCCTGGCTGATTTTGCGAGGGCTAGCTGGCATAGAGGTGAACTTGTGGGGAGTGCTGAAATCTGTGCAGAAACCAGATACCGGTTTTTGGAACTTCCCTTTCACCCATACAGTAAAAGCTCTTTGTATGGCCATGGTCTAGAAATTGCATAAGAACTTATTTGCCTAATTGTAGGCAACAGCATCTGCTGTTTCATAGCTTCCACACGGATAAAATCTGCCTTCTCTGACGGTGCTGAATACAGAGTTATTCTTGTGTGCAGGACAAAGGGAAGGATACAATGAGCCCAGCCAAGGGCTCATCAACCTGTGTATGCCATAGACTTGTTCTCTCAGGCCCCCTCTGCTCCAGTGCAAAGGACTTTGGGGTGGAGACAATGGATCTACAACAATCCAGACCCACTAGTTGACTCCTCTTGTGAGAGGGAACACAACAGCCACAAGGACTACACCAGTTGTGAGGCTGTAGTGTGAACCACAGGTCAGTGTACCCTAAGAGGAAGGATTCCTTCATCCCGCTGAATTTCCCCAGCATACCTGCTGTTAGTAACATTGTGCATAGGGTTCAGGGACTGACCCACTGAGCAAGGAAAAAATAGTGGTAGTGATGTTAGAGTGATGGCAAAAGTTAAGTTCCAAGCCTCTGTGGCGATATCTGCCATACAATGCCACAGGCTTTGACGTGAGACACTTACTACTATACCAGTACACTAGAAGTGTGGTTGTCCTGCAGGATCCCAGGGCCTTTGACTTGTGCAATTCCCGAGAGCCTGCCCACACTAACCGTGTTTGCCGCTCTGGGTTTACTGTTCATTCCCACATCTGATTGCTGAGCCGAGTGTTTGTTTGGAAAGGCATATTGAAGACTGGCAACTTGCCTCTACAAACAAAACCCAAAGCTTTTAAAACCTATAAAACCTTTGATGGGAATTGTCTATTCAGAGGAAGAAATCCACAAAGTTGACTGGGTAGCAGGTCCTCGTGCAGTACTACCACATTTATTCTGTGCATGGGATATGTCATGATACTATAATACCCAAACCCCCATGCCACCTGCCTTGACCTGCACATTTATGAGTTGTACCTGCAGCTTGTCTCCATTTTCACAAACTTGCACATGTGTAATCTCCGTTTAACATACACATACGCACATGAGATGCTGCTGCAGGTGTGATTAGGGTGACATGCTTCAATTCCCAAGTTATTTCAGTCAGCAGATAATGCAGTATCATGACATGTCCTGTATGCTTGGGACTTGCTACACTCTGCTAACCATTTTAACTTTGTAGATTTTTTCCTCTGAACGGACAGTTCCCCTGGGATATTTAAATGTATAAAAGCTATGTTGACTTGCACGTGGATATGAAACCAGTGCAAATTGTCAGTGCATGTATCTTCACGTATAAATGCTGCTGTGCTCTGAAATTCTTCAGACTACTCAAGTTGTCACATTCACTCCGTGCAGCCAGCTCTCTGTTATCCAACAAAAGCACTGAAAACTGCTAGTGCCTCCCCTCTTCCAAACGAGATATATTACCTGACTTCTGCCGAATGCTCAATTCCTGCTGAGAAAAGTTGAATTCATGCTCCAATATAATCTAGTCGCTCAGAGCTTTGCATTGCTGTTGTGATGCTCTTCTGCAAAGATTTCAACTTGGAATAACCCAGAGGGAGAAGCAGCAAATTAGCAGCAAAACAAACAATATATTAGGGCTTGTCAAATTTTAGGAACAAAGTGGCCCATTTTCACAGAGATGCATAAGGAGAACACACGCAGCTCATACATAACATCGTAACTCAGATTAACGCTCATATTGGATCATTTATCCAATGCTTCCGTTGGGATCTCTCTGCCAAGCATAAGTAGGGCTGTTCTAGCTCCTGTTCGTGCCAATAACAAAACCACTACTGGTCCGGCACGCTTGGCAGTCTCTTTTCTAGAGAGTCTCAGGACTGCAGTGTAACATATGTTGCTGGCCTATGTATTGGCAGAGCTGAGGTGGGGGAAGTTTGCATAGCAACTGCCCAACATCTGTCCGCTGAAGCCAGTGAACTAGTCCCTCACGTTCACGTAAATTAAACATTCAGCCATGTATTTTAAAGATATTTTTAACAATGGTATTAATTGCAGTCATTTACTAATAGCACTGCAACAAAAACGTACACACTATTAAACCTCTCATGAATGAGAGATGTTCTTAGCCTTGGCCATCAGAAAAAATCAGTTAAACAATACATAATGGGGGGAACTTGATAGCTCAGTATTAGGATGCAGAGCATTCACCTCTACAGTAGGTCACTGGTTCACCTTCAATCCAAATCATTATCACTAGGTCATTGCAGTGGTTCAGTGGTCTTTGCAAAATGACATAAGTGGTCTTAGTGTGTTTCCTACGGGACAAGAGTTTACACTGCAAAGGCCACTGCACCAAGTGATGTGAAGTGGCGCCCTTGTTAGCAGTCTCAGCAGAAAAGCCAAGGGTTCCAACGGGCACAGATGCT